GTAGAACTTTTAATTTTAGGCCTCATAAAGATAACAAATAGTCACTGTGTTTGCAATAAGAAACCAAAGGCATCAGGTATATATCATAGTGCAAGTTACAAGATAAAGAAAGCAAATACTGAGCAAGTGTTTTCCAGTAGAACTGCATACAGGATATTTAAAGTGTAGGTGGGAAGTGTCATTTTAGCTTGACTTTTCCCATCTTGCTTTTTTGGGGGGAACAGATGATAAGTATCGAATGCTAGAGTATGAGAGATCTGAGAGAAAGTGAAGGTTTCTCTTCCTAGTTATCACAGCATCAAACTAAGACATGATACCTTTTAACCATTGGAGTAATGTGACCCATCACTGCTTCAAATGCTGAAAATTCATGGACTGTATGACATGACAATAATTTTCCTTGTTTAAATAGCCCCTTGTGTGTGCTCACAGCCAGATATTTTGGTCTTAGTATGTGACTTAGTCCTGCTAGTTGCAATGGTTTGGAGACATTTCACATTTTGTTTGATTTGCTTCTGGTGAAATATACTGCAAGGAATGGTTCTGCTTGCCTTCAGAATAATTGTAGTCAGAAGTAAGATCAAGCAAAAGAAAGAAAAACAGTACTGAAACTGTATTGTGATATCATTTATTTCATCCCCTCCTCCAAAGCAGGATCAACAGTACCTTAAACCATTCCTGACAGAGTGGAATTTATCTTTCCCATAGTTCTTTCAACACCAAACAAAAGGATCCTGTTTTTTCCTACAGTAATGCAGTATCCCTTCTGCTTTGCCAAGCCACATAGCAGGAGGACTTTGACTTTTTCCTCCTTGAAAAATGGAGTTGTCAGCAGAGGATGATTGTTTATGATGGGTTGTACAGGTAGTAACATCAGATAGCTTACAGGCAAGCATATTGCTTGAAGTATATGAACATCAATAAGACACAGCAAAAATGAAAAGTATGTCTGGAAGTTTCCTTTCAGTGCTGGACAGAGTGTGACAAAACCGTTCCACAGTTGTGCCTGTTGTAATCAGGAAAGTAAATTGCTCCTTTCCACTGCAGATTGCCAGAAGCTGTTTCTGGGTTAATGAGTAAGATTTAAGACTTGTTCAGATCTTTCTTTAGTCTAAAATAAAGAGGCATCCTATCCCTTTATGTAACAACGATTTGTAGGTTTGTGCTCTAACAAGACCACTCAGTGTTGAGCGCCAGTACATGGATTTTATGTAGCCAGTGGGACAGCCGTGCAAAGACATCAAGAGCATACGAATGGTAACTATACCTTTGAATATAATCTTGGAACAGGACAGGTTTTTTTTCACTCTTTTGCCCAGGAATATCTGAAGACCTCTAGGGAACATAGCATGTATTTATACATACAGCTGCACTACCACTTCATTGTTTACCTGTGATTCAGAGATGCTTGCACCCCAGCCCTTTAAAATTGTACTAGGCAGCCACATGTACAACTAGATCTCTTTTAAAACCCAACTCAAATGTTGCAGGTTTTGGCTAGGTAGTTGTGCTGGGCACTTCTCTACTTTGATGCTCATGTAATCCTTTTTGGGATTGAGTCTGTGCCAAGTGCTGTAATTTCTGAACCAGAAGAAAAGACATCTTCAGGTTAAAATGTCACTGTGCCTATCAATCACATTTCAATGAATAGCTGTAGTTCCCAAGTTATTCAGCAGTGCAATGAATAATTCCAGTCTAGAACTTTTCTGCAAGTTCCTTATAATATTACGTCTGAGACTAGCCAAGACTGGAGCTGTGAATTTCTACTCTTTGTAAAAGGCTTTATTTCATGAATATATATGAATACAAGAACTGGATAATAAAATGATGGATCAGAACCACTGCATACAAACAACATGTATTGATAACACTGGGAGCTTCTTGTTGGCAGCCACATATTCTTGTCCAGTGTGGTACAGTAGTATATTTGGGCTGACAGTTAAGTGTGTAGCATACAAAACTGAGGAGCACTTTTTAATAGCTGACAGCACCAATGAGTACCAGAAAAAGGGCTACTTTGTTTGATATAGAGTATACAGGGTATGGAGCACACTGGTGCTCTGGTACATGACTCAGATGATGCTTCAGTACTGTCTTCAGCTCTATCTTCAGAGAGATTACTTTTCTTTTTTATTATCTCAAACCTGAATGCATTACCCTTCACATTTCTTCCCCTTTTCTCTAAAACTAATATGATATAAATGTGGGTTTTGTCATATAAACGGTTAGAGGATTTTACAACTGTAATTTGGGCAGTTTATAGAAATAATGCTGTTAGAATCTTTCACAACTGACTTCTTACATCTCAAATTTTGATGTAGATGTTTGAATTAAGCAGATGCTAGCAAATGAAAAGAAAAAAGTAAAACCAGTCCAAGTGATTTTTTTTTTCTTGTAGATTACATGGAAAAAAATTTTTATATATATACAATTGTTAATGCCCATCAGCTTTAATCACTAAACACAAAAAAAAAAAAACAAAACAAAACAAAACAAAACAAAAAAAAACAAAAAAAAACAAAACAAAAAACAAAAAACAACAGAAGATCCAGGTCTGACTGCTTATACAGTAAGACATAAGCACAATTCCCCTTTGCATACATATATTGCTATTGTTTTAAAAGATTTTTGTATTCACATTTCTTTATGCTGTAAGATAATAAAAAGACTATAACCAAATATTCTTATAATTTTCAGTTCATATTTAAGGTTAGCATTTAGTCTTCTGAGAAAAAATATACTTCATAAACATGTTCATTATCCTCATTTGCCCACACCAATCAAGTTTAATTGCTCAGTTAAATTGCCTGGTTACCTCAATTTGGAGACATTCAAATGTTTCCATCATTTATCTTCACACCAGTACTCAACTTTCTCTAAAAATAAATGGCTGCTCTTCCATGCCTCTTGGCTAATTGTTCAATTACAAGGGTGTGAGCAGTTCTGGCATTTGAAAGATGTGTGAAAGGCCACTTTTGATCAGCAGAGAAAGACAGAATCAATGACATTTATACATTACGTACTGTTTCTGTGCTTTGTAATAGTAAATGTATTAAAGAACCAGAAGGTAGAAGAACAACTTTTAAAAATAACATCCACATTTTTTTCTCTCTCAGTGACTTTCTCCAGTTCAAACTTTCTTGGTTTTCTGGTCCAACTAGACCATTTTTTAACTGTCTCTCAGCAAACTCATCCTGCAGGAATATTTGCTCCCCCATCAGTCCCTCTGATGCCATTAGCTTCTACAGTAATTCTGCAGTGGAGAGAATGGGGGACCTGGCCTTGAGCAGGTTTAATGTCACAATTCATAGCGAAAATGACAGGCTGTAGGATTCACCTCAGGAACACATGTTTTATCTTTGGAGAAAGAGATCCCCATTACCCTGACACTCCTGAGTAGACTGTGAAACAGGAGAGTATGTGGACAACTGTTGTCTTTCAATTTGTTTTCATTTTTTCCTTCCTTGACTCCATATTTTTTACCTGTTTGGTGTTTGTTTGTTTTGTTTTGTTTGTTTGGGGTTTTTTGACATCAATGTCTCTCTCATGTTCTGTTTTCATTTGTGGTCTCTTTAGATAACCTTCTCCCAACTCCTATCCTCTACTCCCATTTGATTTGCCCTCTTCTATCTTGATTCCTCTTCATAAAGTTTCCTCTCCTTCCACTTCTGTCTTTCTAGTTCTTCCCTCTTACTCTCCTGGATTTTTTTCTTACCCTCTTATCTTCCTTCTCTACTTCTCCTCTATGAAGAATCTCTGCCTTTGGCTTTTTCCTGTAGATTGGGCTCAATGGTACCCTTCATGAATGCTGATTATCCTGGTCAGAGCTCTCTAAGTATCACACCAGCTGAGTAGCTCTTCATTTGAATCATGCCTTGCAGCCAGTTAGAAGGAAAGGAGTGTCACATCCAACTTTGACTGACAGTTGATTGGCAGGCAAGAAAAGCAGCCACCATCTCTCATGGGAATGCTCAGAAGCTTGCAGGGGGAGATAAAATGTCAAACCACTGTGATCTTCAGTCTTTGCTAAGAGGCTTGAGAGATCAAACTAGATCAGACAAAATCCCATTTTAGTTTGTAAAACTAAGCTGTATTGTTTCTGCTTTGAATGTCATAATCAATAGCCTAATTTCTGTTATATAAATAGCAAGAGAGACTCCTATAGACTGTGGGACCTTGGGCAGTACAGACACTCTCTAGACTTGCCATAGGTGCATTAGCTCTACAATTCACATGAAGGTTGTTACCTACATGGGCGTCTGCTTCTCAGGGAGATGGATATTCTCAGGACTAAGCTGTGATTTTTCTTTTTTATTCTTATTATTTTTTACAGCCCCTTTTCTAACTGTCATCATGCTTTGAACTTTGAAATTTTCAGCTGCCTGTTGCTTCTTAGTGTGTAAGCACAGTGTGCTTCAATTCTTTGTAATAGCATGACTTGTGGTATTAAGGTCATGTCACAGAGTCCTCAGTGGCACCACAAAACCCCATCAGAAAATTGCTGCAGTATTGTTGTGTGCAGTGGGGAATAAAAAGGGAAATGTTTGCCTTTTGCTGGGTAGAGACAGTCCTCACCAAAATACGTGTACTGTGAATCCTGAAAATCTTGGACAAAAACCTCTCCTGGTTTATATAGTTTGACTAGCAAAATTAATGAGCATGAGGGAAAATGCATATTACATTTTAAAGCTAAAAATCTGGCCTAGACAACCCTATAATTAAGCTGCATTATTTCCAGACAAAATTAAAAAGTAAAATCTTTAGTATAATTGTGCATGATTGGCTATGGGACTTGCTGGTTAAATAAGGAACTTCTTGTAGTTGATTACAATTTGAAGCTGAAGCGTACGAACCTTTCTGCTGAATTATTCCTCAGCAGAAGCTGGGCAGACAAGAAGGCAAACTAAAAGTTGTAGCAGGCATTGTTCTTACTTACTTGCTAGTGTTGGCTTTCCAGTGCTTGTAAAATCAAAAGATAGATGCATATGAAAAAATCTTACCTTGCCAACATATTGGTAGTCAGTTCCTGTGTATTCCTCCAATAAAAAGAACTGATTCCACATCCAGCTCCTTTTGGTACGATGGAGATCTTGCCTGCTGTTTCCAGACAACACCAAAACCTTTTCCTTTTCTGGAAAGCCACTAGTCCTTTTGGATAATGGAGTTAAGAAACTTTGGTGGGGCTGACCAGCCCAAAACAGCAGCCAGAAGCAATGGTAAGTTCTCATCACGGCAACACAAGAAGGTCTAAGTAATGACTTTTTGTCTTGTCCTCAAACTAACCTACTTTACTGCACTGAATCCAACCTCATGCCGTCTTCCTTCTTTAAATAGTCTTTGCAGTCTCAAAGGATCTCTGAAAAGAAAAATAATAACTTTTTTGAGAATTTTCAAAGGTACTTAACATTCGTCACTACAGCAAGTAAGTACAAAAACTAGAAGAGTAATAGTTATTGTAGAAAAGCAGGGCTGTTTCTGGTTCAAAACATTGCAAGTGGTCCTTCAAATAATCTGAGTGAACTTGTATGAAGTAGGAGGAAGGAGTCCTGATGTCTGGGTTTGTGGTTTTATTTTTCCTCTTTAACTCCATTTATTTCCATTCATCAACTAAGACAAACCAGGCATTTCTCTTTTTACTGCCTGAACTTTGGGATGTAACTTATTAGTTTTTGACTGAGGATCTTGATGAGATTACCTTATTACATCAAAGAAGGGCTAGCATGAGTGCACACTGTCTTCCCAAGAGGCATTCTGTTGCTATAGTTACGGGCTGAGGAGCCTGGACTTGGATAACTCCAGGATTTTTCCCTCACATTTCAGGAGTTTTGCCTTTGACTTTCTTTAGGAAGGGTCAGGTAAACAGGTTAGTGAAATTAATGTGCATATTCATCAATATCTCCCACATACTAGACCTGTTTGATACTGCATAGGAAATTAAGTGGACATTTTTGTTTTCTCAGCCACCTACTCCCAGAGTTTTGTACGGAGTTTTGGATCTTTAAATACATAGTTATATATGTGAATGTTTTCATTAACAATTTCTAAAAATAAAAAAAAATCAGCTGGGTCATTGCTACCTATGGGCTCTTGCTAGCTACTGCTTCCTACTGTTATTAATACTAAATAGCCAAATTTAGTATTAATATTTTCTTGCCAGGTTGCTTTTACAGGGAGGTTGGGGCCTGCCCAGTTGACTTAATTAGTACCCCGAGGCAGCAGCAGCCCTGGTGAGCTGCCATGTAACAGCACGCCCGTCATGATCTGTGCTTGGAGTGCAGATGTGAAAAGACGCTGTGCGCACGTGGATCGCCTTATCAGAGAGGCAGGATCTGAGGTAGGGAGCGCAGCATATGAGAAAACCTATTATTTGACTATTAGTGAAGTCTGCATGGATTGCTGAGGCATGAGGGAGTGAAAATCATCACCAGACAGGCTCCCCAGTGCTCGTCTCATTGCCCCTGTGGCCAAATCCCACAGTGCGGCACCATACCTCTGCTCCTGCATGTAATGTTTCCTGAGCAGTGCTGCCTGGAGCAGCATCACTTAGACAGGATTTGTGCCAGCCTTTTAAAGAATCAGTCCTTCAAATGCCAATTGCCAGGAAACAATTATTCCTGTGAGGGAATTTTCTGCACTTGAAGTCAGCTATATTTCACAGCTCTGATGTCATGGGAGAGGTTTTATAGTGGCTCATGCTGAAATATAGCTCACAAGAATGATATCATAGCTGTGAAATACAGCCTTTTACTCTTCTCTGCAGAGACGTGTCCAAAATGTTGAAATAAGGGCATGATCCCACAACGTCCTTCTTGACTGGGTAGTCTTCATGAAGCAGCAGAGCAGCTAAGCCCCAGCAGCTTCCTTGTGAGTGGTAAGAGAGGAGAAACACTTTTACAGACCTTGGCTTAAGCGGGCAATTGGGGTAAGTACCAACTGAAGTCCAGGATGTCTTTGCCCTATAGGTGCTGAAAACTGTTTTATGGGTCATAGTGATAAATTCAGTGGAGTGAATAAAAAGGACAGGAGCACTATACTTTGAGCTGAGCCTTTAGTAAAGAGTGAGCTCCTGTGTCTCTTAAATGCCATTTTGTGCTCCAGTCACAGTGTCTCATGCTCCAGAGAGGTCTCTGCAATGTAATAGTTTTTCTCGTGCAGTCTCCTTTCTCTATTTTGAAAACAAGTCATTCACCAGGGATATTTTATTTTCTTTAAATGTAGATGTGCAAATATAACAGATGGGACCTTGAGATGGGGGCTAAAATTTGTTTTCTTTGCATCACACGAAGACAGGCAATAAGACAAAAGGGGCGCTTTAAACATGACATTTCTCTCAACCATCAGCTGGTCAGCTGCTTGGGGAACTTGCTGTGTTAATCAACTGTCAAGTATGAAAAATTATTTTACTGTACAACAGACTCAGACAACTGGCTTAGCTCTGTCAGCTCAAATATACAGCAAATCTGGTCTTTTTACAGGAGAAGAAGGTGTCTGCATACCCAAGCTTAAAAAAACCTCCCAGTCTAACTTTAGGTATGATGATTGCTAAGATAAAAGCAATATCACTTGCAGTCACAGAACTGTCTTCAGTGTGACAAGTTGCAGATTTAAAGTTTATGTTCATGCCTCTTTGAAGTATTAAACCCTCAGACAATTGCTTAATCACTATAAATATCAACTTGCTTCAAAATTATTTCCCCTAGGTGATGATATTCATAATCACCCTTTCCATCCACCATCTCCCCCAGTATCTTGCTAAAGTAGGTAATGTCTTAATGCCACCAATATGAGAATTCATTGCAAATTTACACCTTTCTAGAGAGGCACCTAACTATTTCAACTATAAATCAAAGAAGAACTGTGTCCATTGGAGTCACTCCTATGAATCAGGCAGCTCTGTCCTGGAGATGCATTTCTGGCAGTGACAGGTATCAAGTGCCGGTTCTTGACATGAGGAACCCCAAAGAGGTTCCACCTTCACTCTCACTCAGCACTGCATGTTGTGTTGCTCTTCGCAGTTGGTGATTAAACCAGACTAGCAAAGAGCCTTCCCATGAGAGGCATAAGCAAGGAGAGGGAAAATATTGTTTATTCCTTCCTTTCTGTTTCATAATACTCCCCTCTCAATAGACTCTCAGAGGAATATGCTTTATAAAGTATCCTGGACTCTGGACTCAAGCATAATTTCTTTTCAGATCTCATGCATTCAATTATGTTTCTGTGTGCATTTATACATCTTGTTATTGATGACTGTTGATTATTAGATTTTAAATAGCCTCTAAATATGTCAACAACCGTCAGATTCTCTAAAGTTTCTGACGTAACCTTTACTCAAACAGAAGTGCCAGTATAATAGATCTTATATTCCCTCAACATCTATGTACAGTTTCACTGTTTAAGGGCTGGGTGCAAAGCTCCACATATTAGGATTAAGGTCTATTAGGACACTGGAATGAACATTAATTGTATTTTCAAGAATTGATAATGTACTGTTATTCCCACACTGAGGCTGAATGAGGAGATGAAAGTTAATAGATGATATGGCATAGTAATTTAGGAAACTGAACATGGGAAATGATACTGATCTACCCTGGGTGAGTGTAATATGGATCTGAAAATTCAGTTAACAGGAATAGTTAGTTTTAGTTTCGTTTTGTGGTTTGTTTTCTTTTGTTTTGTTTTTCCATTTATGTGACACAATAAACTGCATCCATCCTTATGGAGATTGCTTAGGTTCTTGGGGAAAAATGCACAGAGAGAGAGAATAGACCCTGCTTTTCTATTCTAACAGATTACCCTATGAATGCACCAGTGTATGTGCCTCTGATGCCCCAAAATCAGATCTGATTTATGGTGGTTGGTGGTTGCAGACTAGTCCCTGGCTTCATCAACAGCTGTACTATATATGAAGTGTCTACCACCACCTGTGGAAGAAAAGGAGGGTTTTGTCCTGGAAACTTTAATTTATATTTAATTTTGTAGATGATGTGGGGATGCACTAAGTATCTTCTGATATCATATCTTCTAGATGCTTACCGAGCCAGCACCAACTGAGTTTGCCAGGCAAATTGACCCTGCTTAAATCCCAGACAATTATACAGAGCAAACTGCGAGCTACAGTGACTGGAACATAGGCTTCACCTTCACAGTTTCCCTTTGCAGGAGTTAGTTGCTAGTCCCCTGTCAAGACCATGCAATGAGAAGTAGTCTCCATACTTGCATGGTCCTGCTGGAAGGACCTTCCCGGGCTCAAACATCAGGTACAAGTGTTTAATCCATCAAGCCTGAGAGAAAGGAAGACACGAACACTTCATTGTCAAAGCCTGAGGAACGAAAGGCAGGGAAAGCATTAATGGGTGAGGAGGATAATGGTCAAACAGTGAATCCTGTGTTTGTTGTGTATGGTGTGACAGTCTGTGCTGTGGCCTGAGGCATGCTAGGTAAGGATCTGGTGATTATTTGCTTGGACTTTATCTTGTTGCAAAGCCATGCCAAAGAAGCAATGTCCGAGTCCCTGAGAGAACTTGAATGACCCAGGGGACCCAGGACCCTAGGCTGTCACTGGGGCTGTCCTCACAAACGTGAAGTATGTGGTTCTGCTACTCTGCAGGCAAGACTGCAAGGAAAGCATTAAGGCTCTAAGGAAAATCTGTAGAAAAATTACTTTCTCATCATGGAGGGGAAAGTTTAAAATAGCAATAGCTGCCCAAAGAAAAGAAAGCATTCTAAACTTCAAAAAAAAGAGGCTTCCAAATTTATCATATTCACTTCTTTTCAGTGTCATATTCATATATTTTAATATATCACGTTGATACATTTTCATATATAGCAAAGAATTCCTCACTAGATATTTTCAGTAATAGCTAAGTTTCATGTGCTCAGAAGCTGTAACTCTCCAGACTTGTCCATAATTGACTCATACTCAAAAAGCAGTTGTTGAGTTTAAGCTTACTTTACAATTATGTCTGTCTTATGACCAGTCAGATCTGAAAGTCTCCATCTAATAATTTTCTCAAGTGTGAATTAGTTTTTACAGCTTTGAAATCCAAATGCCCTTTTTCCTTCATTGTCCATGAGGCATTAATTTGTAAATATCAGTCATAAACAGAAAAAAAAAGTCAAATTTTCAGTGTAAAGATAGCTGATGAAATTTTAATCTTCTGATGTTCACTTTTTTTAAATATCTTTGTTATATAAACCCATATGCTCTAGTGATCATTCCTGTAAATATACCTGTAAAAAAACAGAACTGAGCCAGCAGAGAATTCAGACTGAAAGATTTCTAGTTTTAAACTAGAGGTACTTTCTGAAGACATCAAGTACACAATGTAATTGCAGCCAGCAGTGGTTGATTATAGT